AGCGGTTAAAGTTTGCTAAAGATAAAAAAATATGTTAGAACTATTTAAATCACGAGTACAAGAAAAAATATTTTTCCCAAATTAAATGTCGCGTTTGCGGTAAAAACCATCATACTTTGATTCATCAAGAAGAGTAATCAAGATGCAAACAAGCAGAATACTATAGAAAAAACCAATAACAAGTAGCAAGTAATATGGCACACCAGGATCAAACGGTTGTTACGACTCAAATCTAATCGGCGCCACTGACCAGACTTGCCGGGAAGATTGACGACGAGGCGCGAGGCGAAGTACCACACGTCGACGCGGCGGAGACGGGAGGGGAACTCTCTAGAGAATACGGCGACACGGTGCATTCGGTGCTCCTGATATTTGTTGTAATTAATTTTGAGAATCGTTTGAAAGAAAATCGTGTTTAAGAAATCAGAAGTGGGATAATTTCACGTGCTAGTTAGTGAAATTTAGTGGCGTTAGTAAAAGTGCGGCGAAGTTATTGTCGAGGACATTTTACCAGCGGATAGACTCCATGCAAAAAAGACGATAACGAGACCAAGAAAAGGCGGTGGTGTAACAAAGTCACATAGGGTGTGGCAGGCGTAATTTCTTCAAAAAAATGTCCGAAGGGCAGATCGGCGATGAGGAGGCAATTTCCTTGACCATGGAGGGGGAATTGGAAGAGGCGGCTTATTAGGTTCTTGCGGCGGCTCAGGTGACGTCAAGGGCATTAAACGAATCCATTGCCCGTACTGGAGCACCTATTGGAGTCTGAGTTAAAATCTCACATCGAGAAGGCGGTAAAGACAGCGGGCGGCACTAATCTTAGGTGAAACTTCAGATACCCAGGCTCGCAAAAATTGACCAACTTGGGCGGGTGCATGGATAGTCAGAAGCAGAAAAAGCGGGCATCATGCAATGCCGATTACTGGGGGCGGCGAAAGCGTGGTTCAACCATTTGGACGAGTACGATTTGTCATGGGATGCTTGGAAGGCGAGACTACGGGCGGCGTTTCCACGGCGACGTGACTTCGCCATCACTCTAGTGGATTTAGTAATACGGCGTAAATTACCAGGCGAGGTAATGACTAAGTATTATCAAGGGAAATTGGCGTTATGTGAACGAGTTGACGTTACGGGCAAAAATGCAGCCGCTGTGATAATAAGGGGGCTGCCAGAGGAACTGCGTGCAAGTGCCTATGCTACCAAAAGTAGTACACCAGAAGGCTTCTACAATAATTTTCTTCTTGGACTAAAGTTCTACAACTACCAGGGGGCGGTAAGAAAGGCTGAAGGGGCGACACGGCGTGAGTGAGACGATGAAACGGCGATTGACGGAGTCAATAACAACAGGAGAGGCGAACGCGGCGTTAATTCGTTGCTATAACTGTCAGCGATTCGGCACTCATAAGAGTCGTGATTGTCCTTACGAACGAGAAGAGAGGTGTCGAAAATGTGGGAGACCAGGACATGAGGCGTCAAACTGCAATCCCCAGAAGGACTCGGCAATGGCAAAAAATCAGGCGACCCCACAGGTGAGCATCTTAAAATTAGGTTTGGAAGATACATATAAAAAGATGGGTACGGCGTGAGGCGCGTAAATTCGTGTTTATATTGACACGGGTAGCGAACAGAATATCTTGACGAACTCTTGGGCAGAAGGTCGCAATTTGAAAATAAAACCAGGCGATTGGTTACTACAGGGGTTTGCAGGCGGGCAAGGGGTGGCGATTGGCGAAACAACGTTTGACCTTAAGGTTGATGAGGTAACATTGAATATCACGGCGTTGGTTACCAAGTGTGATCTCGGGCGAACCGAGCTCATCTTGGGACAACCAGCGATTAGTATTTCTGGCGTAATCCTTGTGGTGAGAAACGGTAAGGCGTGTTTAATCAGGGACGAAGATATTCTTGATGTCTTCAAAAATCTGACCTTGGAGGCGAATCGACCGAGACACGACGATTCCGGCGGGGCTGTCAATTCAAATGGACGTCATCGTGACTGACTGCGAAGTCGGCGAAATAGTTGCGATGAAGCCATTGATGTTTCAAAGCAAGAACGATATGGTAGCGATACCTGGTGGCATTCTTAGATGTGCAGACAACAATAAAATCCTCGTCACGAACCTTGCACCCAGGACACTAAATTGGAAGGCAGGACGATTAGTGACAAAGGTGGAGAGATACAAAGAAGGAGTTCCGGCGACAAGAGTCATGAACATTCAGTGGGTGAGCGCATTTCCTTGACTTGTCTAGCATCAAAGTAGCCGAGATAGGCGATGACCATAAACAGCAACTATTCGAGTTATTACAGTCTATGTCATGTTGTTTCTCGATAAATGAAGAGAATTTGGGGTTAACTGATTTAGGTTCTAGCACTCTTCTAACTTTATATAAATCAGTGGCGGTTTCTCTTAAGGCCGCTTTGCCGCGCGAGTTTTTTAAGTTTTTTTATTGTTACATTATTTGTGACGGTTTTTTTTAAATTGACGTCAAAGTTATCTGCAAAAGTTTGATTATGACCGCACCATCTTCTTGAAAGTTATTAATCTGATATTGACATCTCACTGGAGGTATTAAAAATTAGGGTTTGTTTACAACACACTCATAGTCACTTCCAACTATGACGCCAAATTTTAATAAAAACACGTTATATACCATCATTTTAATTGCGACCCCCCTGTCTAAAAGTCACCGAAAAGACGCCGAAGAACTTTTTTAGCACACATGGGATCGATGGGGACTTTTGACACTTTATTTCTAATGGTGTACCCAAGGTCTCCACCAAAATTTAGCTCTGTCGGAATTTTTGTTATTTGACCACTATTTTTATGACTAATTTGACCGGACTAAGTATTACTTATAAAATTTGTTATTTTTTATGACGTAGGCTTTGAAAATATTCAGAAAACAATTAATTAGTGCGTTGTATTGCTTGTGAAGTGGGCTTTCAAATAAGGTGTCACTTGTCATACCGTTACATTTGAAAAAAAAAATTATAGGTGTGTGCATTCCAGAAAGCAGATAAACAAAAACCATATTGTTATATCTCATTTACAAGGTTCAAAATTGGCGGTGAACGCGATAGTGGCACCACCTCACCCGGTTGACTTGATTGCGTGAGAGGCGCGAGAGTTCAAGATTCAACCGGTTGTCACGAGCAACACAAGTCGCGGTTCATTCAAATGTAATAACGAAAAATCTAACATCAGGTGTGGGGTTCACGTGTAGTTTCGTGTTGTTTTTGTGTGTGTGTGTGTTGTTTTCGCAATATGGACGATTTGGCAGCCATAGCGGGAATTCTCCAGGACTTGCAAGGCAATGCCAATTCTCGCCCTTTGACATCAACTTCAGCTCCTGCTCAAAATACACCCGTCTCCTTAAGCTTTCCAAGTTTTGACCCACAAAATACCGACAGTGCAGTCTGGCTTTTGAAAATAGAAGGATACAAAAATGAATTTGGTTGGTCAGACAGGGAGACCGTGAGTAGAGTCGGTGCGTTTTTGTTAAAATCTACGAAACGATGGTTCACTGCTTGGCAACCTGCTGATGAAACCTGGCAAAATTTTAAAACTAACTTTTCTATATCTTTTCCTAAGCAAAAAAAATCTTGGAAAACATTTAGCTGACGCGGTGAACTATCTCAGTTCCGATGCCCGCAGTTATGTCGAATACGTACGGGTAAAATTAGAAAAATTAAAATCTGTAAGGGCAAATTGGTCCGAATGTGACTTAATCGAACTAATTGCTCACTCTATAGATGATAACTAGCTGATGTGGTCAAATCCTATCGGATTTGATTAAAAGTTTCATTTTTATTTAGTAAAGTGTCTTTTAGATTTAAAAAAATTATGTTTGGGTCAGTTGGAGCAGTTTCAGGTCGGTTCAGGTCACTTTAGGCCACTTCGGGTTACTTCGGATTACTTTGGCTTGAAGTAAAAAGAAAGTGTGAAATGTACTGACTTTTGATTTTCAAAAGAAGAAAAATTCTTAAGGAAATGTTTAAATTTAGTT